CGTGCGAATACGATAATAACGCAAAATAAAGTTCGAAAGTTACAAACCAAAATTACAAATTAAATCTTCCACTGTTATAGATAACAGTTAAATTCTATTAACAGTCTTGAAAGGACTGATATGATAAAATAAATAATACTTTCAAACAGTACATACAGTTTTGAACAGTTAAAAGATCGTAGGAAATATTTACATTGTAGTGTCCAGTAGGGAGCATCATGACAGCTCTCGACAAACAAAGTGAAACAAGGCAAATAACTTGTGAAAACTAAATGAAATATACGGCGTTTCGGCACTCATTGTATTGGCCTTTTACTAAGATTACTAACGACATCAAAATTGATAAGGTAATTATTCAGTAAGCACATTTCTTAACATATTATCAAGTTTTGGTTTTTGGCTTGAAATTAGCATCACCTCACTAGTAAAAGTTTCTATAGTTTTTTTACAAAGTTCTTAACAATTTAATTCCTGTATCGCTGCCTCACTATCTCTCTTTATATCAGGGCACTTCTCGACTAAGACGTTGCCACCTCGACAGTCTGTCTATTGTGTCATCAATTTTACCTAAGTTAAGTCAGAATTCACACACCACATGTACCTCAAATAGCCCACTGGCAAAATCATTTTTCTACAGAACCCATATACTGTGGAATGGACTCCCTTTACAGGTAAGACAGATTGTGTCTACTAGTCTTTTCAAAGCTGAGGTCACTAAGCATCTCTGGAAATGTTTATTGGATAGTGAAACAACAGTCTAGCCTAGTCTCTTTGCTCCCCATATTATTATTATTTTTGTTTTATTAATTTTTGTATCTACCTTCCTATACTTTCAACATCATATCACACTTCACCCGCACACCTTCTCACACATTAATGACCATTTCAGACCTGTATCTAATGTATCTGGAATTTGACGTATTGAAATACCAATTTTGACTCTATATCCACAGTTATTCACCATGGATTTGTTTGTTATTAAATAGTTTTTCATAAATTTTTGGATTTAGATTAATTCGATGTAATGGGTCCAAGTTACTGCGGACATAGTTCACTATGTGTTTACCGTGTTTGGGTGCCCATCATATTTTACAGATGGGGGCGATATTTTGAACGATTCTATTTTATATTCATCTATTGCTGTACTCTGTAAAATTTGAAAAGTATTTAATAAAAAAAAAAACAAGTCTTAAAAACACTAAAATCATAATTCTTAAGGAAGTGCAGAAAGAACTGTGCGAAGTCCCTACTTCTAGTTCCTTCAGCAGGGTTCTATTTCTCGCTAGTTTCGTGGCGATGTTTAGCAGCGTGTTGATTGTTGAACCAGTGTTGTTCTGCTATTCTTTAGTTTGTAGGTTGGGTTCGCATATTCAAGTGAGACCATTGTAATTTTTCATCAGTAATGTTACTAAAAGGCCAATTGCCAAAACTTCGTTTATTTAGTTTTCGCCAGTCACGATTTGCCTTGTTTCACTTTGTCTGTTGAGAGCCGTGATACTCCCTACTGAACACTACTCAATTGAATTGAGTAATCAATAAAACGACTGTATTTAGACTCAAAATCATCAAAGGGTCTGGGCTGTGGACATATCTTATCGGACGAAATTGCATGAACGGAAATAACTCTAAACGGACATAAATACTTAAATATGAACGCTCGAAGACATTTCAAAAACCTAACGGACATAAATATGAACGCTATGGACTCCAGCGTAATGTATCACTCTCATACCACGATGTGAAATTTTCGAAAAAAACAAGTTTTCCATCCTGGAGGCAGAAAACATGGTATATACCATGTTATAATCAATCAAGTGAAGGTTCAATATAGACCTTATTCTAAAATTCCACTTTTTCTCATTCTACCTCTTAATTTGTACAATCTTAAATACGTAGTTCAGTCAGCGAAGGAGTATACTCTAAGGAGACAAGATTTAAACTCAAGTATTTCTAATATTCATGTTAAATATTTTGAATTAATATTCATTAAATATTTTGAATAACTATTAAAAATAACTTGAGTATCAAGTATGTATATTATATACAAGGTATTTTATTTAGGCTTCGCGAATCACTATTGTCCTGTAATTGTTGCTCAGAGACCAGCAAACACAACTTTACTTTAAATGAACCTACGGTCCTACATACCCCTATCATTTATGTCCTGCGGTAAATTGAAAGCCGTGCTTTTTCGAGCCTAGCTTGTGCTAGCTGTCAATGAAAATGTCAAATATTATTTCAGAGTTTTACCTTCTAAGTGCTATTTGTAGTAATCCTCTACTTACTTAGCAGTTGCCGCCATTATAGCTGAAACATTAAAATCACAAATTCCTTCCCTTTTTTGAGCTAAAGCTACCTTATATCTTTATACACAACTTTATTGGGTCAGTTCCCAATTGTTTCGCTTTTATGGTATTCTGTAATTCATTGCTGACCATCATGGTCTCAAATGAGCCGGCCGACGATTTTCTTTTCGCGATTTGTATTCATTTATCTAGACTAAAACCCTCGAAGAAATAACATAAATGTGCGGTATTTCCTAATTGTACGCTTTAGTAGCTAGCAATAGCACAGATGTTTTCGAAATCTTTTAAGGCACCAAAATTGAAAATTCGCAAATATTTGTGTCGTCAAACCGATTGCTTGTCACTTATACTTATTACTTATAGTTATTCATTTATTTATTGAAATTCGCGAAAATTGTTGCCGTGAAAATTATCAAGTTTTAGAAAATCGTCAAAGTAAATGCTCGCAAAAATATCTGGTTTTACAGCTATAAAGTTGCTATTTAATTGACGATAATTCCAAGTACCTACTCGGCATGGTTTCTTCAGTAAGTCAGTATTCGGTTATGTGCCGTTCAGTTACTAACCAGTACAATCAGTGAACTTCCGACCTCAAAGGATTGTACATATACTCATATAGCACTGGTCAGTGGTCAAGTGGTGAGAGGAAGGACCAGTGCAAGTTACTTGCTCAATGCTCATTAGCTGATGCTGTACCATCTTGTATAGGTATGGTACACAATGTACAATCTTAATACATTCTTAGATTCTGTATAGTAGAATACTGTATATTTGCCTTTACAGCATTTATTTGCTGCCTTCTTTCTCTTAGTCTTAGCTACAATACAATGTATACAATGCAATATATCTGCGCTGTTAGTTTGTCTATTCAGAAAGCAGCTTTACGTTCGATCATCTTTCTGGGGAAGCTCTCTTTGATCTTTTCTTTAGATACAAATATCTAATATTATATCGATCAACAACTTTTATTCCGATAACTTCATGCTTTTATTCCCAAATATGGGTATTTTAGTATTTTCGGCCATAATTGCTGTAAAAGTGTAAACACCTGATGAAACCCGAGCCAGTTATGACGTCACCGGAGCCTGTAACTTGATGAAGGCTCCCAGCTGCTCAAATAAATGTTACTTCTTTACTTCAGAACATTCTTTTGATTAAAATTCCGGTGTTTGCTGCTTTCACACCTTTTTTCCATTTCATAACAAATAATGTATGCAGTTCATAACAAATAATTTATACAGTTATAATAGTTGTGCTGCTTCATTTGCACGACATGTATAAAACTTAAAAGTCTGAGAATAGAAACCCACTGGATTTTTTATTTTCCTGACTTCTTCTTCATAAAACTGAATTGCTACATGCGGCCGGAGCCTACCATTTGACTACCACTTGGCTTCCTTTCGGCTACCATGTGGCTTCCATTCGGCTGCTTAAAAATAGTTCATAACGGGACAATGAGCAGCAAAATTGATAGAAACTGCATAAATCAATGAAGACTGCATTTATTTCCTCATTTTTGGGAAAGATAAGGAGTGATCATACTTCTATAATTGAATTTTAATATTAAATATCGAATATGTGTCAATTTACATTTTCAGGTGCATACCCATAACCTAATCAGACACTTTATTGTTAACATAAAATTCCACAACTCTAACACTCTACGCGTTCCTTTGCTTCACTCGCAGTGTGAGAATATCTAGATCTTTTCAGCCCTGTGTACTGATACATCAGTACACTAATACACTAGTACACTAGTACATTAGTGTATCATTTGACATTCTGTTTGCTTGTTCTTAATGAGTTAATGATATCTGGCTGCTTCACAGTTCACAGACCAGGCGAGCCAGTGTGTATTGTATAATTGTTTCTGTTGCTTGTGAAACGTTTAGAGATATATCAGAGTATTATAATTATTGTAATTGGGTATTATTAATATTATTGACAGATACTCTTCAGCTTCATACTTTATATAAGTGTAAAGTATTGATGAAGCTTCGCTTTGAAGATTCGGAATTACTTGTCCACGTTATTTGAGCAGTGGCGTAACTTTGCCTTTTGGCGCCCCCCCCCCCCGCTCAGTGACGAAAAGCGCCCCCCTTAAATTTTTTGTGTCCCAAAAAAAAATTTAAAAATTAAAAAAAAAAAGGTCGGGTACTTTTTTCTCGCCCCCCTACAGCTTTTTGCGCCCCCTGAAGCAAAAAAGGGTATCCCAAATATTTTTTTCGCGTCGACCGAACGCTAAATTGGACAGGGAAATACACAAACAAGGCGTTTTTTCAGTGAAAGGGCCTAAAATTCAGGAAAATTGCGCCCCCCCGCACAGCGGGGTCTGCGGGGCCCTAAGTTACGCTACGTTATTTGAGGCTGTAGTGTTTAGTTTTGGAGTGCAGTCTCGTTCACACAGCTTAATTCAGCGATTCGGATTTTAGGGATTATATATTGGCGTTGACTGTGCGTTTGTTATGATGAATTAATTCAATGTTGTATAGCGAGTTTATAAGGATATGTCACACTCTAGCACAGTTGCAGCAGACAAGCTGCTGTGACCATATTTCTCGTACTTACAACTGTATATACCTAGTAGAGAAACGTGAATATTTTGGCAATTTTAACGTCATTGGTAAATTGTTGACAGTAACTCTACAATATACACTGTAAACCATTCTCATGGTCACTAACACATCCCCCATCAGAAGTGTATATCATGAAGTTGTTACTAGTCCTTCTTTGTACGCTCCTCCTGGTCGTCTACGTGGAGAGTAAGGGAGCACGGGGAGGAGGAGCTAGGAGCAGCAGTAGGAGCAGTAGTTCCAGGTCCACGTCTAGCTCGAAGAGGGGATCCAGATATTACTCTAGGTACATAATTAGTTCCACCTCTAGCTTTTAGAGGGGATCCAGATATTACTCTAGGTACATAATTAGTTCTACCTCTAGCTTTTAGAGGGGATCCAGATATTACTCTAGGTACATAATTAGTTCTACCTCTACCTTTAAGAGGGGATCCAGATATTACTCTAGGTACATAATTAGTTCTACCTCTAGCTTTTAGAGGGGATCCAGATATTACTCTAGGTACATAATTAGTTCTACCTCTACCTTTAAGAGGGGATCCAGATATTACTCTAGGTACATAATTAGTTCTACCTCTAGCTTTAAGAGGGGATCCAGATATTACTCTAGGTACATAATTAGTTCTACCTCTAGCTTTAAGAGGGGATCCAGATATTACTCTAGGTACATAATTAGTTCTACCTCTAGCTTTTAGAGGGGATCCAGATATTACTCTAGGTACATAATTAGTTCTACCTCTAGCTTTTAGAGGGGATCCAGATATTACTCTAGGTACATAATTAGTTCTACCTCTAGCTTTAAGAGGGGATCCAGATATTACTCTAGGTACATAATTAGTTCCACCTCTAGCTTTAAGAGGGGATCCAGATATTACTCTAGGTACATAATTAGTTCTACCTCTAGCTTTAAGAGGGGATCCAGATATTACTCTAGGTACATAATTAGTTCTACCTCTAGCTTTTAGAGGGGATCCAGATATTACTCTAGGTACATAATTAGTTCTACCTCTAGCTTTAAGAGGGGATCCAGATATTACTCTAGGTACATAATTAGTTCTACCTCTAACTTTTAGAGGGGATCCAGATATTACTCCAGGTACATAATTAGTTCCACATCTAGCTTTAAGAGGGGATCCAGATATTACTCTAGGTACATAACTAGTTCTACCTCTAGCTTTTAGAGGGGATCCAGATATTACTCTAGGTACATAATTAGTTCTACCTCTAGCTTTAAGAGGGGATCCAGATATTACTCTAGGTACATAATTAGTTCTACCTCTAGCTTTTAGAGGGGATCCAGATATTACTCTAGGTACATAATTAGTTCTACCTCTAGCTTTTAGAGGGGATCCAGATATTACTCTAGGTACATAATTAGTTCTACCTCTAGCTTTTAGAGGGGATCCAGATATTACTCTAGGTACATAATTAGTTCTACCTCTAGCTTTAAGAGGGGATCCAGATATTACTCTAGGTACATAATTAGTTCTACCTCTAGCTTTTAGAGGGGATCCAGATATTACTCTAGGTACATAATTAGTTCTACCTCTAGCTTTTAGAGGGGATCCAGATATTACTCTAGGTACATAATTAGTTCTACCTCTAGCTTTTAGAGGGGATCCAGATATTACTCTAGGTACATAATTAGTTCTACCTCTAGCTTTTAGAGGGGATCCAGATATTACTCTAGGTACATAATTAGTTCTACCTCTAGCTTTAAGAGGGGATCCAGATATTACTCTAGGTACATAATTAGTTCTACCTCTAGCTTTAAGAGGGGATCCAGATATTACTCTAGGTACATAATTAGTTCTACCTCTAGCTTTAAGAGGGGATCCAGATATTACTCTAGGTACATAATTAGTTCTACCTCTAGCTTTTAGAGGGGATCCAGATATTACTCTAGGTACATAATTAGTTCTACCTCTAGCTTTTAGAGGGGATCCAGATATTACTCTAGGTACATAATTAGTTCTACCTCTAGCTTTAAGAGGGGATCCAGATATTACTCTAGGTACATAATTAGTTCCACCTCTAGCTTTAAGAGGGGATCCAGATATTACTCTAGGTACATAATTAGTTCTACCTCTAGCTTTAAGAGGGGATCCAGATATTACTCTAGGTACATAATTAGTTCTACCTCTAGCTTTTAGAGGGGATCCAGATATTACTCTAGGTACATAATTAGTTCTACCTCTAGCTTTAAGAGGGGATCCAGATATTACTCTAGGTACATAATTAGTTCTACCTCTAACTTTTAGAGGGGATCCAGATATTACTCCAGGTACATAATTAGTTCCACATCTAGCTTTAAGAGGGGATCCAGATATTACTCTAGGTACATAACTAGTTCTACCTCTAGCTTTTAGAGGGGATCCAGATATTACTCTAGGTACATAATTAGTTCTACCTCTAGCTTTAAGAGGGGATCCAGATATTACTCTAGGTACATAATTAGTTCTACCTCTAGCTTTTAGAGGGGATCCAGATATTACTCTAGGTACATAATTAGTTCTACCTCTAGCTTTAAGAGGGGATCCAGATATTACTCTAGGTACATAATTAGTTCTACCTCTAGCTTTAAGAGGGGATCCAGATATTACTCTAGGTACATAATTAGTTCTACCTCTAGCTTTTAGAGGGGATCCAGATATTACTCTAGGTACATAATTAGTTCTACCTCTAGCTTTTAGAGGGGATCCAGATATTACTCTAGGTACATAATTAGTTCTACCTCTAGCTTTAAGAGGGGATCCAGATATTACTCTAGGTACATAATTAGTTCTACCTCTAACTTTTAGAGGGGATCCAGATATTACTCTAGGTACATAATTAGTTCCACCTCTAGCTTTAAGAGGGGATCCAGATATTACTCTAGGTACATAATTAGTTCTACCTCTAGCTTTTAGAGGGGATCCAGATATTACTCTAGGTACATAATTAGTTCTACCTCTAGCTTTTAGAGGGGATCCAGATATTACTCTAGGTACATAATTAGTTCTACCTCTAGCTTTAAGAGGGGATCCAGATATTACTCTAGGTACATAATTAGTTCTACCTCTAGCTTTTAGAGGGGATCCAGATATTACTCTAGGTACATAATTAGTTCTACCTCTAGCTTTAAGAGGGGATCCAGATATTACTCTAGGTACATAATTAGTTCTACCTCTAACTTTTAGAGGGGATCCAGATATTACTCTAGGTACATAATTAGTTCTACCTCTAGCTTTTAGAGGGGATCCAGATATTACTCTAGGTACATAATTAGTTCTACCTCTAGCTTTAAGGGGACATACACCAAAAGCTTTTATGCCCTGGCCCTGCTGTTAACGTCATATTAAGAAAGTATACATAAAAACAATAAGATTTGATACATTCAAAATTATTTTTGAGGACCCGCACTTTCGAAAAAATAAATATTTTCTTTTTCGAAATTTTTCGAAATTTTGAGAAGTCTGTCACTGTAATACCGATATTTCGGTCATTTTAAAAGTCTTTTGGCTGATTTTGTTACTGAAGATTACTTACAATCCGTACAAGAAATCCCTGAAAGGATTATATAATTGAACAATAAATGACGTAGTTACAGACCAAAGAAGGTCGAGAGAAGCAAAATTGAAATTTTTGTAAAAATCAAAGTTGTATATTTTACCATTCACCCAGGTCATAAGATATCGCTTCAAAAATTATTGTGAGTGTAGCTGATAATCATATACAACTTTTTGGAACAGGATTTCTCTCAATTTTGAGTTTTAAGGTATGAAATGTGGCCTCAAACGACTCAGTAAAATTCATCGTAAAAAGGGCCAAACATGGCAGATTTAAGGCTTAAAATGCCTATAACTCACAAAATATCAGTTTTAAAAAAATAATTTTTACAGGATCGTAATCAGCTTGGTAAGACGAATCTTTTAGTACCAAATTTATAAAAGTTAAAGACACAAAATTTGTAAAAAAATGTGTACAATTTGTACAAAATTTATACAAGGGGGGACCCTTGTGTTCGAGCTAGAAAATTATTTAAGACAATTTGTCTTCTAAAATCACCTATTTGGTACTAAAAGATTCGTCTTCTCAAGCTGATTACGATTCTGTAAAAATTATTTCAAAAAAACTGATATTTTGTGAGTTATAGGCATTTTAAGCCTTAAATCTGCCATGTTTGGCCCTTTTTACGATGAATTTTACTAAGTCGTTTGAGGCCACATTTCATACCTTAAAACTCGAAATTGAGAGAAATCCTGTTCCAAAAAGTTGGATATGATTATCAGCTACACTCACAATAATTTTTGAAGCGATATCTTATGACCTGGGTGAATGGTAAAATATACAACTTTGATTTTTACAAAAATTTCAATTTTGCTTCTCTCGACCTTCTTTGGTCTGTAACTACGTCATTTATTGTTCAATTATATAATCCTTTCAGGGATTTCTTGTACGGATTGTAAGTAATCTTCAGTAACAAAATCAGCCAAAAGACTTTTAAAATGACCGAAATATCGGTATTACAGTGACAGACTTCTCAAAATTTCGAAAAATTTCGAAAAAGAAAATATTTATTTTTTCGAAAGTGCGGGTCCTCAAAAATAATTTTGAATGTATCAAATCTTATTGTTTATATGTATACTTTCTTAATATGACGTTAACAGCAGGGCCAGGGCATAAAAGCTTTTGGTGTATGTCCCCTTAAGAGGGGATCCAGATATTACTCTAGGTACATAATTAGTTCCACCTCTAGCTTTTAGAGGGGATCCAGATATTACTCTAGGTACATAATTAGTTCCACCTCTAGCTTTTAGAGGGGATCCAGATATTACTCTAGGTACATAATTAGTTCTACCTCTAGCTTTTAGAGGGGATCCAGATATTACTCTAGGTACATAATTAGTTCTACCTCTAGCTTTTAGAAGGGTTCCAGATATTACTCTAGGTACATAATTAGTTCTACCTCTACCTTTAAGAGGGGATCCAGATATTACTCTAGGTACATAATTAGTTCTACCTCTAGCTTTTAGAGGGGATCCAGATATTACTCTAGGTACATAATTAGTTCTACCTCTAGCTTTTAGAGGGGATCCAGATATTACTCTAGGTACATAATTAGTTCTTGACTTACTTGACTTAAGGCGGCTTCAGCGTCCGAGTATTGATGCGCTGTCTCCATAAAACTCTATCCGCCATAAGTCCGCCCATTTCTCCAATGTCGTTGAGACCCGTGTCAGCTCGTAGGCTATCAACATAGGTCATGGCTGGTCTCCCCCTACTCCGCACCCCATGAGTTGGTTC